AGTAGTAGTTCATTGTTATAGTTTAAATTTGTAGGAAGTTGGTCAGTTAGGTTTAATGAAATTGGTGTTGTATGTGGTTTATAGAAAGTTAATAATGTTGAGGATAAGACCACAAAGAAAGTGTCTTCTATAGCAGTTACTATATATCTGGCTTGTATGGCTCTGCAAGATTCAGAAGCTCTCAGATTAAATATTAGAGAACTGTTATTATCTAAATCTTCCGGGTATGAGGTAGCTAATACTTTTGAGAACCACTTATGATCTAGTTACTCAGACTTTTAATATCCTATCCTCAGATTTTAGATGAATGTAGAAGACAAGTGTTGTGTTTTTGTTTTACAAAAGTGAGGGTATATAGTTAAAAATTTGTATTTGTATGAGTGTTTGTTTATGTGATTGTTTGTATAGTTTTTAGTATAGTGTATATATATTGCTATATATAGTAGTTAAGATATCAAGTATCTAGTTCTACTCTAGGTACAAGTATTTTTGCCCTTATATGAGAACCATATTTAGGTCTTCTTAAGCAAGTTTTCACCATTTGATCATCTCCTAGAATTCTATGATCTGTTGGGCTTATTATGAGATTGTACCGCATTTAAACGGCTAGCATTTCTTTGTACTTCCCAATTGGGTTATACAAATGCCTCAAATCTTCTAGATCCTAAACTTCCCAATTGGGTTGACTAATCTTTAGTACACCGTCAGGCTACAAGTAATTTTACCCGATGCAGATAAAGTAACCATAACACAGAATTAAATTCAAAAATCATCATTTGTAGGATTCGAACTCACAACCTGCTACTTGGAGGTGTAACAACTAGATTACTTCACTAAGCCACCACACCCTTCAATTGATTTTTCAAGTAATATAGAACAAAATAATAATGAATCTATTATTATTTGAAATAAGAGAAAAAGAAATTCATATCTTAGAGCAGTGCAGTTAATCACATAATTAGAGTTTACTATGAGACTATACCTCTCTCTACCTCTCTTACTATATAAAAAATAATTAGCCAATCAAATTTTTTCATATATATAGACATGATAGTTTGCTTACCTTCTAAAAAATCATGTAATTTTCTGCACTTCTCTTACCAATCCAATTCAAAAAAAATAAATATTTATTAATATATACAATATATAAAAAAATCTATTTAATAATTATAAAAATCTATTAAGTTGATCTTTAGTATAACTGGGCAATATAGAAATACTATAAAATTATAATATAAATAAATAACTATTTAATCTAATTTATACAAATTTGGGACTAGTTAGAGTTAGAATAAGGGTTATAGTGTATATTAAAGTTAGATTAGGGTTAAAGATTATATTTTTTTATATTATAATCATATAATATTTTTATATTGCCCAGTTATTCTAAAGAAGATCTTTTTTTTTATTTTATTTTTATTTTTTTAAATATTAAAATAACCACTTAGGCTCCTTACATGTAGCTTTATTCAGATAGTTATGATATATTATATCAAATTCATAAGGATACATACAACTAGCTATATATGTACTTTTGGTACCTAATTTAAGTAGTCTATCTGGGTTCTACACTAGCTGCTATATCTGCAATCTAACTAGAAGATTATCTATTTAAGCTTACTAACTATTACTAATGAGAGTATAACTAGCTATATATGCAACTTTTGGTTGCCTATTTAAGTAGTCTGTACTAGGTTCCTTACTAGCTGCCATATCTGCACCCTGACTATGGGGATACTCATTTAAACCCTTTGGCTCCATCTCTGTAACACACCTATTCTAATACTATTGAAATTAGCAATGCTATAAAATGACCCTAAGACTTTAGCTATATAAGTATTTATCCTTGTGATAAACCTAATAGTGTGGTACATGTCCTATACATGCACTCACTTGCATGTTCGGTAACTTTCCCCAACTAGTATCTGTTGTACTGCCACTATTAGGTTCGTATCTCAAGCTATCTTTTTGGATACTGCTATAATCTAATTCATATTTCAAGCCACAACCTTCCTAATTAGAATCTTATTATGTACTTCTTGCCTTTATGAGGTTCACAACAACCCTGGTACTCACATTCCAACTTCCTTTTTTCCACTGAATTCCTTACTGGTTCCTCTCTTACTTCTAGCTGGCAACCTAGAAGAGTTGGTCTGCCCAGGCTTTAGGTGCCTCATAGTTATCCTCCTCTTGGTACATGCTTCCAGAGTGTATATTCTTTTTCTCCAGTTGGCGGTCTGGCAATTTGGCTGGTGTATCCTCTCACTTAAGGATCTGGTTATTTGGTTCTCCGGTCTGAGTTCTCAGTTCCAAATTTGGTCTTCTTGTAGTACTATCAAAAATCACTGCTACTTCATACTCAGGACTTGCCAAATAGGTTTTTGGTAATTTCAGTTTCTTGAATTTATTATGCCGAAGCTCCTATTCAAGATGGTATAACCAAGATTACAGATATTTAGATCCAATCGATTATCTTAACATTAACTGATACAAATCTAGTTTTTTTCAAAATCGTCATCTATGAGATTCAAACTCTAGACTTGCCATCTAGGGGTGCGTAGTGCTTAGCACAATCAAACAAAAATTTGATAGTCAAATACTTGTTAATACTTATATTTAAATTGGATATCAAACAATTGCAGATTAACCAAAGCTAAATATATACTATTGGTTAATCTGCAATTATTTGATATCCAACTTAATCACAAGTATTAACAAGTATTTGACTGTCAAATTTTTGTTTGATTGTGTTGAGCACTAGTAATAACTAAAAATTTTTAATTAATTAAAAATTTAAAACTGCAACTTTTCTTCACAACATTATAATTACCATTTGCTACAAAAATTGTCAGAAAAAAATTACTTTTAAAACACTAATATTTTACTAGTAATTTGTCGATTTTGCCGATCCATGCATAAAATCTGTACTATTGTTACGGGGTGATTCGTACGTTTAATAATCTATACTCTAAAATATAGACTTTTATGACATAAGGCAACTCCGTTGGTGATTTGATTAATTATAATATAAGAAATTATTATCGGGTTAGTGATATTATGTGCCCCTTCCTCGCACATAAGTGTCATAACCAACCTTATCTAAGTTACGTTCTTTTTATAACTTTAAAGGACTAATAAGGCTTAAACAAATTTCACCTTATTGTATAGTGGCTTAATTTCTATCGACCGAGATATATTGCAGATTGTCTAAGCCTTTGGCTCTAAATTATAAACTTGATTGACTATGATGTCAATCTAGCCCGTGACACTATTGATTTTTATTATAATATACCTCGCATATGTTTGATTAATTAGTATATGAAATACCCCAACGGAGCATGATTGTTTATAATTTTATATTTAAAAAGAGATAATGATAAAATTGTATTTTGACGAAATTAGTTAAATAAATACTATCTCATTGTCACGTATTATGATTACGTCAGAATGTATTAAATCATTTAAAAACAGTTTTAAATCAAACAATCATGTTTTTTAACATTCCGTTTTAAAACATTTTCCATTCCTAGTTGGTATTATGCGTGTCGGAGTTATAGGCTGTCGGGATTTTAGAGTAGAATCATTTGTTGAAAATTCGTTGTGCATGTATTGTTTTTTGCACAAAAATTACAATTATTGTGCAGTATGCACAAAATTACAATTATTGTGCAGTATGCACAAAATTACAATTATTGTGCAGTATGCACAAAAAATAAAATAACATTCCTATACAAAATTTAATACGATCAACAGATAATTGAGTTTAAAATTATTTTCCAGATTATACTATTTAAAAATTCATAAATAATAATTGTAATAACGTGTGTGTAAATACTATATTAAAAAAATAATTGTAAATCATTTCATTCAATATCATCGCAGTGATATCTACCGAAGATAATGCAGTAATGAGTGAAATGATATACAGGTTTTCACGTCCCGTCACTCATATTATTACCTTTTCCTATCTCTAGAAATAAGCTGTCTATGAAATAAAATGATCTATGAAATAAATAAGCTATCAGTGAAATATAATGTCTATGAAACAAGCCATCGGTGAAATATGAACTATTTATGTAATAGACCTATCTGTATATTAATCGTCCGTAAAATGATCTTGTCTATAAATTAATTATCTTGTATATGAAGTGAGCTGTCGATTTTGAACTAATCTTACCAATTTTAGATACAAAACCACTAAATTTGGTCTTATAAACAATATATACTGTATATTTAGAGAGAGCTTTAGGTAGAATGCATTGCGAATTGGTTGAATTGGTTATGTTATTACTAAGTTTTTGCTATCATATAATCGGAAATTTTGCCCGAGATTCACAATGCATAAATTATGTGACACCGATTTAAAAGTTAAAGTTGATCACTGCTATTTTTAAATTACAAATGATTGGATAGATTTTAATACAAAAAAGCTAAATGCAACTGTCGTTGCTATTACTATTCTTTATCTATCTTGAAACTGTTACCACAGAGCTTTTCCGAGGTTATTTCTCGATGATTTTGAGGGTCTTAATCATCCCATTATTATTTTTTACTTACTAAAGATGGCGTTATTTCCTTTAAATGTTATGAAAGAGCGAAACCTAAGTTTTTTTTTAAGAAAATTACCTTTTTTGATGCAATTTTAGATAAAATACTATATTAGGTATGATTTGTAATTTGGACTAAAGTTTCACTCTTCACTTTATATTAATTATTTATGTGACACCATCACCCTGGGTATCGGTAATGAAGGAAACCTCATTCGTACTGGTACGTACATAAGTACGTACGTACAAAATATTTATATTCTTATCAAGTCATTACTTATAATTGGTTTTTTTTTGCACATTGTTGTGCAGAGAATATCAATCATTAACTATTTCCAGAATCAATTTATTTATGTCTTTTTCAAATGTAACAGTCACATGAGAAATCTCTTAGTATCGATATTATATTATTAAACATATCGAAATTAATTTAGAGGCGCAGTAATCTTCATAATGCTTCACACGGTTACTCAAAGATCAAATGTTAACACAATTAATGATGTACATGCTACAGCCGAAATTGTGTATCACGTTTGTAAGTCATTTAAGTAAAGAATAGTAATTTAAAAAAGGTGAGACCTTAGTTAGCATTAATATAGTGATGCATATAAAGTATATATAAACAAATACATTATGAATATATTAGTTAAATTTTATCGAATTGTTTGTTATCATTTAACAAACTCTTTCCCTCCTTGACACAACACTTTTTCGCATATACTTTTTGTATATAACTTTTTATAACATAATTTCACTTATAATTTAATCATGGCTTCAGTATTGCGAAAGAAATTAGAACAATTTGAAAATTTAAATTCACAAAATAATAACCGACCTCTCCCTTCTTTACCAAATAAAATTCCGAAGTCAACGATAAATTCTACCATAAATAAAATAAATGAAGATAAAAATAAATCTGATTCTACTTTTAAAAAAGTGGTAGAATCTTCACAGTCACAATCTAAAAATAGAGTTGCAGCAATTGCTTCTCGACTTAAAGCATTGGAAAATGAAAGAAATACTGTTAATGAAACAATTTCATCTAAGGATAAATTTACAAAACGAACTGTGAATAAAACGATTGATACTTCATTATCTTTAACTTCTAACAGTGAAAAATCACTAAATTATCAACAATCACCTCCAATGAGATCACCTGCTAGTCAATCTTCGATAAAATCTCCTATTAGCATTGAATCTGATCTTCTTCAATATAAAAATCATCATCGAGATGATAGTCTTTCTAAAAGTACCTCGGATTATCAATCTGAGGCAAGTACTTTTCAATTACGTTCATCATATAATGAAAATAGTTATACCGCTAGTACTGGTATGACAACACCAATTGAAACAAGTTCAAGTGAACATCATAAAGAAGAGTTAGAAAAGTTAAAGAAAGAATATGAATCGTTAAAAGAGAAACAAAAACATGATTATGATATTATTATACAAGATCTAAAGAATGATTTAGAAAAGTTAAAACTTGAACATAAAGTAGAGTTAGAAAAGGTAAAGAAAGAATTCAAAGACCAAGAAATACAAAATGAAGAACGATTCCGAAATCAACATGAAGAACAAATTAATAAGATAAGGAGAGATAATAATATTGAAAAGGATAAATTAATGGATGAACTTCAAACAATAAAAATCTTAAAAGATCAAGCCGATAAAAGTATATTAGCAAATAAACAGTATTCATATCAAGAAAAACTTTCTATGAAACAAAATCACGAACAAGAAATTGAAAAACTTAAAGATATGCATACAAAACAAATGGAAACTATACTAAAAGATCCTAAAAATGTTATAATAGAGATGCGACTTGAACATAAAACAATAGAACAAGAATTACGAAAACAGATTGAAGAATATGATAATGCTATGCAAGCTTGGTATCATTATCAACATGATGCAGAGGCAAGAATTAAAGAATCTGAATCTCAATTATCTGATATAATGATTGAAAAAGATGAATTTATAGCTGAAAAAGGTGAACTTGAAAGAAAGCTTGATCAATCTCAGGAAGAAATAGCAAATCTTAAACGACAGAATGGATCTACGACCAAACTTATAATCCAATTTCAAAAAGAAACAGAAAAAGTCATTAAAGATCTTAAACAAAAATTGGATGCTAAAGATCAAGAATTGAAGTCTAAAGAAGATAAAATAGATGGGAATTCAGAATTAATTATAAAAAATCTTCGTGAAGAGTTACAGAATGCTAGTGAAGAGTTGTCATCTTTACATGTTAATTTGTCAAGTACGGAATTAAAATATGATGAAATAAAAACTAAATATGAAGATATTAAATTAAAATATGATGAAACTAAAGAACGTTGTGAAGATTTAAACAATTTAATTAATGATAAGTTAGAAATTATATCAAAATTAGAACATCAACTTAATCAAACAGAGCGTCAACTTAGTCAAACAGAACGTCAACTTAATCAAGCAAAAGATGAATATGAAGATACAATTCAAGATTTAACTTTACAAAATGATAAATTATCACAAGAAAATTCAGAATATTCGAAAAAACTTCAAGTCATGAATAATGCAGCTCTTAAATTTGATTCTACGGAAACTGAATACGCAGAATTGAATTCCAAATATAAAAAATTGACAATTGATAAACGAGAACTTGAAACTAAGTATAATGAATTGATAAAACAAAATAATAAGATTATAACGGATAGGGAACGAATTGAAGATGAGTTATCAAAAGCAAAAGAAGAAATACGACAGTTTAAAAAACAAATGTTGACAATGAAGAGAGATGTTGAAGAACTTAGAAATGAACGGGATAAACTTTTGTCAATTAGAGAAGAGAGAGATGAGAGTGAGATGAGATATAAAGAACTTGAAATAAAATATCAAGAGATGGAGAAACAAAGAGATTTATCGATCAATGAACTTTCAAGTATTAAATTAGAATACTCTAATAAAGATAATCAAATTAATGAGACAAAAGACAATATATTAGGCATGGAAAAGCGTATGAAAGAACAAGAATCTGGTATAGAAAGACTTATGAAAGAAATGGCAGCCGATAGAGAAAAGTGGAGTCAAAAAGAAGCAGATCTTATTTCAAATTATGAATATAAATTACAAGAGAAAGATTCAGAAATTGAAGAGCTTCGAGAAGAATTGGAGATCATACAAAATGAATTAGAGACCATACAAAATGAATCAAAAGATTTGAAAAAATTATTAGAAGAGGAAAAAACACGTATCAAAAATCTAGAAATAAAATTACGAGAGTCCGAACGTGAAACTCATAAAACAAACACACAAATCAGTGACCTCCAATGTAAACTTGCTAATGCTATGAATGACAATGAACTGATACAAAAGAAAGCAACTGAGCTTAAGAAAATACTTGAAAACCAAACGAGTGAAGAAGAACTAGCTACAAAAGAGAAACTAATTGATAAAGAAACTGAAATAAGCGATCTCAAAAAGAAGTTAGCAGATGAACGTGAGGAAAGAAACAAAATTGAATTAAGACTTGAGGAATTAGAACAATTAATTACAAGAGCTGATAAACAACTTGAAGCTTATAAAAGTGAAAAGCAACAACTTTTACAAGATCATGAATTTGAAATGCAAAAACTTCAACAACAACATGAAGAAGAAATTAATAACCTTTCTTTAGCGATACAAGCGCGTATAGAATCATTGGAAAAACGACAACGCGATCGATTAAGTGATCGTGGTGAGGCAAAGAAAATATCTACTTTAGAGCGACGTATAATAGAATTGGATAGATCACTTAAAGCATCAGAAGCAGAACGTGAAAAATTACAAAATGAAAAAAATGAATTAGATAGTAAATTTAAAGAAGTAAGTATTATTAATTGACGTATTATTAATTGATATTTTCTTTCTTGCAATTACTTAATTTCGGTTTTTTTTTTTTTCTTTTTAGGTATTATCTAAAAACGTGACTCTAGTATTAGAAATGGCTAATAAATAAAAAAAAATTTAAAAAAACTTTAATTAACATATATATATTTATATTATATAATAGGCTAGTCATAATACTTGTATTTAGTAATGACAAAAGATCATTATATAGAAGTATAAAATATATAATACTAATGACTATTTAATTAATTAATTGTATTATTTTTGCTGTACAATTATTTTGTATAAATCCCACATCATTTTGTTTAAATAATTTAAATAAATAATTCAATGAATGATTCAGTGAATGATTCAGTGAATGTTATCATTCAATAACCTTTCTTACAATACTTTTTGGTGATCTGAACAAATTGTACACAATGTAATTTATGTGTGCAATCTGTTGAATATTATCTCTAGATTTATTTAATTCCGGCCTCAAGTTTTTAATATTACACATGGCAGGTAGAAAAAAAACAAATTTCTAAAACTAAAATTGTCTCCCTCTATAGGCACACCCGCCGTTATTCAGGATTATAGATGAGTAGCGAAACTCAAAAAAGGAAATTACAACAATTTCACTTTAATTTCGCTACCCATCTAGAGTCTCTATAGAGTCAAGATCCGTATCGTTTCACTTTAATTACAGACAATTACGTAAACCACAGCCGCCTTATTACAGCAAGTAAAAATATTTCCGGATTATTTTTTTGCCATAAAGAAGGCTAAATTTTTTCTTTGGTCAAATTACTGTATAATTTTGAAGATCATCGGCCTAAACTAAGTTAATGCAGGTCAACAGTCTAATTACGTCACAGCGTTGGAATTGCACATATCCGATCATAAGTCCGATCACTCAGGAAATGTAGATATGCGTTAAGCCCATATATTTAAATTCATGTAATGCGAACTGACGTACAGTATGTACATACATACTACAACAGTGATGATCGATCAGAAGTCGAGCAGAGGCCAGTCAGATGTGCGGAAAATTCTCCCTACATGCTGTGTTTTTCGACAATCATTTGAAGTTCATTTCATAGATAATTTGTTCACCGACAGCTCATTTCATTGCCAGTTTATTTCATTTAATCGAAAGGTAATTATAGTCAATATAATCAGAATTAGTTCAGAGTTATGTTTAAGGTTAGTGCAAGTTATAAGAAAACCATGTGAAATCTGTCGATGAAAATAATATGAAATAACGATACGGATCCACATAAAATGACTGAGCCATATAATATTGCAGGAAGCGACTATATTAATAAAATTAATAAAACTATAACCGTTCGCTCCTTTTGTTTCAAGCTGGAGTATGAGTTTTCTTTTTTTTTTTATTTTTATTTTTTTTCTGCTTTTCATACTGGATGCAAGTAATCGTTATAAATGTACCAGTGTTGACCATCTTAAATTTCATACCTATATTTAGCCAATAGGTCATAACAGGTACGTACGTACCTACCTACATACGTACAATACCTTTCATACTGTATTATCGTTATTAGCGTTAGATGTGTGATAATGCTAGGCCCTGATACATGATAATATCATTATTAATACAGTAACAGGCAATTTTTATTAATAGAAATAACTAGAAATTTCTGATAATTTGATAGATTTTTTAGTTCTGTAGTTACTGTAATTTGTTAGTGGGTTTGTTTATTTCTTTGTTTTGAACAAGTTTTAGAAGCGTTATACTGTATAAGGACTTTGCAAATCAGAATTGATTATGTAAGCCTAATTGGCGCTTTTTGTCGGGCGTAGCGAAAGACTTGTAATGGATAAAGGTAAGCACCAAAAATGTCTTGTTTAAATGGAGTTATACGTATTTGGATTTTAAAGCGTATAACGGTAATAATAAATACAATATATTGTAAGTTTTATAAAAGCTCCGGATATTACCAGAATCTATAAAATAGGAAATATCTTTATTGTCCCGTACTACATATCCGTACTACATATGTAACCTGTGAGATTGCCCGATTTTTTCTTTATATATATTTTTTTAATTTGACGCATTTTTTTGTCAATAAAAATTATACAAGGTGATGAATTTTGGTTAAAACCGTCAGAAACCCATAAAAATTTTTTGTATACAAAAATTTTATTTGCGTTATTGCAAAATTTGTAATAAAGATTAAAATAAGTAGCTGCGCGACATTGTCGTGCTAACCAGGAATTTGGATAATGTATACATAATATTATATATTCCTCAAGTGTCGATGAAGTGATCAGCACCGCTAGACAGGGATGGTAAATGACCTGGTCATTTGCTCAAAATTTAAATGACCCAGTCATTTGGTTAAATGACCCAGGTCATTT